GCATCTCTGGAGGGGCTCCTTTTCTTCTGTGGTATTCTATATTATCTATTATGTATTAAGAAATGGTGTTCTTATGCATAATCAACTCAAGGGGACAGGTTGAACAGGCCCCTCTTGTAACAATTTAATTTGCTGTTTGTTCCCAAGAATCTAATGGTTTTGAAACTGTATGATGGGTTCAATTTATGTGTCTTGACCCTTTTCATCTGCACTTAGTTATTCACTTACATGCAGAGCATCCCCAAACTTTTACGATGAAGTTAATCTAGGGGGTTTCTCAAGATTACAAACCAAAGGGTAAGTTGCGAATGCACTACATCTCAAATTACTTTATCTGGTATGCAAACAATTTGTGGTTATGATGTTCGAATAACAGCCAATTGCAGCTACAAACAAATCGAGGAGTCGCTAACTGAGAGAGGATGCAAACATTTTTATGATTTCTTGAAAGGTCATGGTGTTTTTGTCAGATTTTGGTTACTACGCAACAAATTTATGTTGCCATGTATTTAAAGCGTTTCGAGGTATAGATTTTTTTTGGTTGAAGATAACTGAACATTTTATTTTAGTTAAAACATGTCAAATGTATTGACACTTGCTTGGTTGCCATAGGTGTATGTTTTTGGCTATAGAGACATTTTTAGATTATGAAGATTAACCTGATGGCTTTTTCTTCTGTTAATCATTGTGCGTTTAGGATGACGATTATCCTCGTCAGATTGGAAAAAAAGGTAGGATTGACGATAGCTTCTTGGAAGCTTATATGGTTTTAGCCTTGATAGCGAAACCTGATTCTAACATAGACCATTATATTATGTGAAAGATGAGACAAGTGAAATGCACGAAATATTATATACTATCTACTTTTCAGAGTAGTGTTGCAATTCAAATAAGGTTTCACTTTCAGATTAATTTGGTTGATTATTTCGGTTTTCGATTTGAGCTTATAAGTTAGGCTGTTTATATATTTATTTATATTTAGGTCAAATTGCCTTAATAATTTTTATACAAATCATAATCACCTAGAAATATGAAAACTGTTGGTACAGATACAACCCTTTTTATAAAGAAAAGGTATTACAACAAGAAAGAAAAATAGAGTATATAGTTATAAGAAACTGGTCATTAATCTTTACAAGTTCAATTCTAAATTCAGTGCAACATTGTGTGTAGTACAAAGACCGTGTTCTTATTTAGTAGGCAAGTAAAATTGTTTTCTAAAAATTCAACTATGGTGTTTGAGCAAAGCAAAGGACCGATGGAGGCGAGTAGAGCAGAATAATTATTTTGTCTAGTTTAGTTGCGATCAATATGGTATCAAAACCGGTCTCCCACAATATGTTGGGCATATTTGAGCGAGACGTTGAGTCTTAAGGGCGAGGACTGAGGTGTATGACACTCATGACGAACGGCAAGCTAATAAGGGCGAGTCAAAAAGAATAACTGCTAGATTTTTAATCTGACATGCTTCCAAATAAAAATTGCATATGATATCTTAGGCAAATCTCACGTCAGAAAGAAAGATAGAAATCAAACGATTCATAAGAGAAAGCACAAGTTGTCATGGTATGGATACTTCTGAACTCAATGATAGCGTGGCCTAAAAAAACAAATTTGTGAAATCTATTGGGCTAAAACGCCAATACGTTGACAATTATGAAACATTATTCTTAAGTTGATTGTTGACCCTTAGTCTTAAGCTGATGATTTGCTTGATTATTGGGTTTGGGAGTGGCTAATGTCAGAATATGTTTGGTTTAGCGGTTAAGGCCTAATAGCCAAATAAAAAGTACAAAGATAATCGGATTTTCAGATATATAAATTCCAAAATGATAGTAATTGATAGTAACATTTTCTTAGAAGCTTTTCTGAACTATGTGCAAGTACTGTCTGATTTATAAAAAAAGTTATTGAAAATATTCTGGGATAATAACTTTTGATCCCTCCGTTATTGGTAAATTATAATTTTGGTCCTTGTGATATTTAATTAAGCGTATTTAAAGTTCAATTAATTTAATGTGTATTTTTGGTCCCTTCATATAGAAAATATGTAACAATTAGACTATTTGTATAACTATATTATAAACGCAAATATGGAATAGAAGTACAAACTTAACATCAAACATGGACTATTTTAATGACATAATGGTTAATAGCTCGTTATATTTGTGAATATCACAAGAAGAGGGATCAATAGAGCATAATTCAAACAATTGAAGGCTAAATATACTCAATCAGATATTACAAGGATTACAATTAGAATTTATCAATAATTAAGGGATTAATAGGCAAAAGTGTGCCTATTTTCCGCTTTTCACAGTCAAAGTCAAAGGTTTGTTGGTGGCAACGAAACCCTCGTTTTGTGTTACTGAGACATGCGCCTAAGGAGAAAGTCTTTGCAACCGCGCCTTTTGAAGCGCCAGTCGCGTAGGGCGACCGGGCCAGGCAGAGTCAGAAAGGCTTTGATGACGTACCGCTCCTCGTGGAGTAGATCCCGCATCCAACAAAGTCTTTGACCAGGGAACGGGAGAATTCCCACTACTGCTGGCAGGCCAGTCGGGCCGTGAGCACGGTGGGAACGGGCTTCCCAAGAAGCCAGCCCGGGCCAGGGTCAGCACAGAATGAAGGGGACGGCCATAGATCAAATTATTTCGTGGATTGGATTTCACTTGACTGTCTACGGTTCCATTGCGTGTGCTCGGGATAGAAGTTTTGTATAAATGTATGACTAGACTCCTTTAAATGAAAAAAGGCTTCTTGTCGGCAAATACCCCCTTCTCATCAACCGACATGTCAAGATCCAAATTCGAATTGGTTCCTGGTCCAGGTCAGAGACCACTGTGTTCGCGCCGGCGGTCCAACAAAGAGGCGAAGTAGTGGTATCTGATCACGCCCAACTATGCCTTAAAAAAAGGACAATGCGGTCGTTGCAAATATAATCCGGTTTACAAGTCCGGAGTCGAATCCCACAGAGAACTAAGGTTTAGCTACAGCTGTTCACTATCACCAAGAAGACAAGCTTGAATAATTTCTAACTTATAGATATTAAGATTCTTCTGTTTAACTAATTAACTAACAAATTAAAATAGTAAATTAACAACTAACGATACTGAGGGTTAGAGAAAAGATTAAGGAGGTCTAGAGTTATGATTTCCCCAATTATCGGAATCCTTCCCGCTATGTCTTCTATAATTTCGCCTAAGTATTCTCTACCGATCATAAGCACTCTTATTACCGTAAATCTCTCCCGAGTAATTACGACAATTTACTAGACGCACTCTCCCGAGCTACGCTAGCTGGCTCTTAATACAGCTCACTTCAGATCGCACCCAAGGCTTCGTTATCCCTAATCCCGCCTTTAAACCCTCAGTTATTGATCCCTCATATACTCTGGGAGTGGTGTTGTTCAACAATTACCTAAATATGCACTCTCTCCCGAGTTATGCATACTAAATAGGCACAGCTAATTGAGAGCTCTTCAATCAACCAGAATATAAACGTAGTTGAACAAATAGAGAAAAGCTATGGCTCAATTATATAAAAACATAACAAGAATTTATCCTACAAAAGGTTCTATCAAAACTCTAGATAACAAATTAGCTATTCATAATAGTATGTAAAACTACAATACTAAAAGTCATAACCAACAATCAAAAATAGGAAGAGGAAGGAAAAACTCGTAGAAGAATTCTCCGCCTTGCTCCCAATGTGTTCTTGCCTCCAAGGGTGCTGTCTAACCCTAAAGTAGTGTCTCTCCGCCTCCTTAGGTCTAATTTGTGTCCAAAATATGTCCCCCTCTTGTTCTTGGCCGGCCTCCTTTGTTTAATATAGGGTTTAGGACTTAAAATCCCATGTTTTGCACTTTAGTCCCTGAAATTTTCGCTTCCTGCTGCGGTTTTGCCGCGGTCGCGGTGGAACCGCGGCCAAACATGCCCTCTGATTCTTCAGTTGTCCGCGACCATCTTCTACCACGGTTCTGCCGCGGTCGCGGAAAAACCGCGGTTTTTCACCCTGTTCCGTTTGGAATTTGGAAAAACGTAAAACATCAAAGTTGTAGCCCTTTGAGTTAGATTTCCAACCATATATTGTGGAGCCCAAATGGAGTTCTGAGCAAAAAGTTATGTCTATTTTACTAGACAGTGCGCAATATGCCTCCTCAAGTCTTCGTTCGTACTTAATTATCAAATTTGACCCCCGAACACGATCCCGGCTTAATTCCTTGAGCTTTTACTCAGACTTCAAAGCTTCAAATCACTTAAATTCATTCCATAACATCTATATAGTTCGGAATCACACCTACAAGATATAAAACACACAATTAGTGCAAAACACTAGCGATTAAAGCGCAAACTCAATTAAAGTGCAGTAAATTCGAGTGTAATAAGCGACTAAAATATGCAATTATAGCCTATCATCAAAACTCTTACAATTTTTCCAATTTCACTTGAAAATGCATTTTCAAATTTGAAAAACTGGTGAGAACCAATTTTTCAATTGAAAATGGGAATTTGCTTTTGATTTTACAAATTAACCCCATATTTTTAAAATTTATAAAATGACCCCATCAATTAGTAACCTACAACTATCCACAGAAACACAAAACGCACATGCCTTGTTCTCACCAAAGTGTGCGGCTGCCTTTGCAATCACAATCCGGCAAGGGGTTATTTATTTCAAGTAGGATAATCAAATTGGGGTGGTTTTGATATTTTTTACAAGTTGTAGAGTATAAATCATGTTTCATAATTTTGAAAAAACGACATCCAAATATGTTGCAAAAATTATAACAACACAACTTCATCTTCAATTCAAACTTTAGTATAATTCCAAATTTGAAAAAAAATAAAATTGAAATTCATGTCCAAACGCCTACTAAATTTCAAATCCTGAATTCAATTATAAAAAAATATATTATCGTTTGAACCTGAAACACGTGTGGTAGGTAAAGAATTTTGGCCCAAAACTGAAAGTTAGGTAGGTTGACGTGAGAATAGAGGAAACTAGCAAAGTGAAAGTTTTAAAAAGTTTGGAACCAAATGAGTATGACCTTCCATCCTCTTTTATATTCTATCTTTGTCCCGCTCGCGAACAATTAAAAAAGAATTACGGCAAAAATGATGAAGGCATCACTGAAAGCTAAATATGAGACGGACAAAGCCGCTGCTACCGGCGCTGCAAGTATAGCCTTCAACGCCGGAGATTTTAAGCTCCGTGCTTCTATGACCGATGCTACTGTAGGCAACGGTCGAAGCTTAGACGGCTTAGCTCTCGCTGTTGAAAAACCCGGTTCATTCATATTCGACTACAACGTCCCCAAAAAGGTGCCGCTTATATCTTTTTTATTTCCACTTTATATTCTGTTTACATAAAAGTTGAACTAATAATAAACTGAATCTCAGATTCTCAGTAGATCGTTCCATAAAATCGTAAATGTTCCATAAGAAAAGAGAACCGTGGTTCGTGGCATAAAATTATGCCACTTAAAATACTCTGTATTTTTTGTTTTTTCAAATTTTTCTCCAAAAAATGGAAGCATATATATATATTTGTGTATTAATTGTTTAACAAATTGGAAATGTTTACGCTAAATTAATAATACAGGATATCACTTAATCATTGTTTAGTTAAATTTGCGGTTTTGAAGTTAAGTTGTTTAAGTTTTTTTGGTGGCAGAAGAGACTACTCTGCCACTTCACAAAAAAGTAATGGACAAAGGATTACTGAATGAACTTAAGTTATATACACTGATAGCGTAAAGAATTTTACACATAATTTAACATGTTCTATCAGTTCATTTATCATTTATTATTGGTTTCCGGTCACTGCATATTAAATGTAGTTACTTTAAGTGACCTGCCTTCTTAAAGGCAGGGAAGGTCTGCGTACACTCTACCCTCCTCAGATACCACTTGTGGGATTGGGTATGTTGTTGTTGTTGTACCTTTACGTGTTTATGGTATGGAAAATCTTAAACTCGTACACTCTACCCTCCTCAGACCCCACTTGTGAGATTACACTGGGTATGTTGTTGTTGTTGTTGTACCTTTAGGTGACCTTATGGTGTGGAAAATCTTAAACTCGATTGAATTAGCCTATTTTTCACAATATGAGGGAAAAATTCAAAAAAAAAAATAAAAAATTGTGTAACAATTTTGTCCTTTTTGTTTAAAACTTGTCTTGGCTATTATTTAAGGTAGAAGTTTTGTGATTTCAGGACTTTAGGTTTCAATTTATGAACTCAATTAGGGTATTGGAGAAGCCATTGAATTTGAATTATTCAAAAAAAAAAAAAAAATTGTGTAACAATTTTGTCCTTTTTGTTTAAAACTTGTCTTGGCTATTATTTAAGGTAGAAGTTTTGTGATTTCAGGACTTTAGGTTTCAATTTATGAACTCAATTAGGGTATTGGAGAAGCCATTGAATTTGAATTACATTCACTTCAGAGGAGATAACCGGACAATACTGGATGGGACATTGGTGTTTGATTCGGCGAACAAGGTGTCAGCCAATCATGTGCTGGGTTCGAGAGGTTGTAAATTGAAGTACAGTTATGTTCATGGAGGACTCACTACTTTCGAGCCAAGCTATGATACGACGAAGAATTCTTGGGATTTTGCAGTGTCGCGTAAAGTTTATGGGGCTGATGTGTGTAGGGCTACGTATCAGACAAAGAGTAAGAATTTGGGGTTTGAATGGTCGAGGAGCTCCAAGCTAAATGGATCATTTAAGGTACAATTATTTTGTTGTTTGTGTTATATCGTTGTTATGGACCTAAATCGAGAAGAATGGATATGGATGATTTACGTAACTGATATCAACAAATTTGAGATTCACACGTTATTGCTTGCTTGATTCATTATCTTGTTGGTTGCCTTACTAAATGAGTAATGAAAGTTAGGTACGTTTAGATCCTTGTATTGCAATTTGAAATTGGTTGTTTATGTCTATTGGGGTTGTCTGTCTGATGTCTAAAATTATTTGTCAGCTGCAATCCTTTCCGTAGATTACTTTGATTAGTTCAGTATCTGATATCATGTTTATTGTTTTTGCTGGTTAAAGTCCTTGTTGGTGGACAAGCATTGAAAGTAGAGACAATTGATACTCACAAGAAAGCTGTCTTTTACTGGAAGATAAAGATCGTGTTTTGAGACTGTTTTATTTATTTATTAGGAAGGATGAGTTTTGAGACAATTGATACTCACAACAAAACTGTCTCCTAGTACAAAATTGAAGAATGAGGATTTTACTAATAATATGCATGCCTTTAAGAAATCAAAGCGACCTTCCACCAATAACCCTATACTCCACTTTGATCGGATTCAATATGCCAAAATTATATGAATGCCTGCTAGTTCTATTGTTCTCGCAGACATCTCTGCAGTGCTTGCACTGTGAGAGAATTCACAACATAGAATTGTTAGCCGCCGAAACAAGTTAGCTCAAGAAAATGGAGTATAAAAGGATGGTAGTGAACTGATACAAAATTTGTTTAATTAGGAGTACATCTTCTCCAGTTTTCCATACTCTTTCTGTAGGGCCTTCCCCATTGGTGCCCTTCTTTATTACACTTCCACGTAAAAACAAGACGATATTATCTTGGTCTGGTTTATCAAAGTGCAGAGTGGTGCATACTTTCTTTGTACTACTTTGTTTTAAAATGGGTCACTTGTCAGTCGTTTCAAGTTGTTTGCTCTGCTAGGTTTTGTTTGTTTCATTGATCAATTTCTGCCCACAACTTGACAATCTTTGACATTTTCTTCAAAGTAATAAATTGCAAGTCAGCAGGCAAGGGATAACCTAAGAAGTCCTATCGCTCCTAGACATCATAAGTTTAGTGATTGATCAATTAATAGCTTGCAAGGCTACAAGTCTAAGAAAGTATAAAAGAATGGAGGTTCCCTTTTATGGTTTAGTAATTGAAAAATTACTTTCTAATATTCATTTTATTGACTCATTTGTTGGTTACTTTTCTTCTTTGTATTTTGGAAGCACAAGTGATTATGATATTATTTCTGCAGTGAGCCCCTTGTAGGTTATTTAGTTGGTCCTGTTCGAGCCAGTTATTTAGTTGTGTCTTTTCTTTTTTTGTTAGAGTGAATAAATTATTATAACTTCTTATTTTTTGCCTTTCCATATCTATTCAAATTGAGAAAATGCTTAAAGAAATTGTAAATTTGAGGAAGATTTTGAAAATTAGAGATGAGAGAAAAATAAAGTTATAAATTTTAGGAAATATTTAGGGGAGATTTCGAAAAGATATAGTAAATCCAAATTAAGGGGATTACAAAATTGAGAAAATGTTTTGAAAAGATAGGGAAGAGTTTAAGTCGGGTGTGTGCAAGCTGGTTCCATGATCACCTTGTCCCTTAAAAAAGGATGGGGAAGAGTTAAAAAAGTACTTTTAAAATATACGGAAGAGCTAAATATAAGAAGTATAATATTGAGAAAATTCTTAACGCTATAGATACGGTAAGCCAATTGCTAGCTCTTTTTGGAGGACTTCTGATCCTGTCCAATCTGGGCACCCTAGCAGTGCCGCTAGCCAAGGAGTGTGGTCCAGTCCAGGCTCATCCCTTATTGTGTCCTAGTCCTGTTAACGGGTCAACTTTCCTGTTAGTCATGTTAAATTCCCACCAAGCCGCTATTGTGGGTGACACATACCATCATCCGCTTATTACCAAGAAGGAAAAGGTGGATTTGCTAGATAATTCATTGACTCATACCATCCTTCAAGCAACTAATATGAGCAATGAGTCATTCAACACTCCTCTTCCAGGTTTATGTTGAGAATTGAAAACATGCACAACTTTGATGTTTTGATTCGTGTCCAACTGCATTCTCTGGTATTTGCTTGTATAGCAAATCAGAGAAGCAGAGTCAGTTTCTTGTTTATTTTTCCTTTTTGACATTTTCTTTTACTATGTCATCGAAGACAATACATGTGCAATTAACATAATGATGATTTATATCATGTTTGTTTTGTGTGAGTTATAAGTAATACCACAAAAGTTAAACTTCAGATAGATTTGTAGTTGGCCAATCTGTGTTGCTGACTTGTTCTCTTCGTTTGATCTTTTGATAGGCTAGCTAAAGCATCTAAAATAGTATAATTTATTTTTTATGTTGTTTTCCGCTCCCTGCAACCAGACTCTGACTCTAAGTTATTCTTGCTCCAGGTTGCTGCATCTCTCTGTTTGGCTGACGAACTTAAAATGCCAAAGTTAACTGCTGAAAGTTCGTGGGACTTTGACATATGATTCTTTCTGCATTTTTGTTCTGCAATTATTCTAACATGATACTATTTCCAGCCACCAATTATAATTGGCTACATATGATGGTTTTCATATAGTGGTTGTATTCAGTAGTGACCTTCCAGACAACTCAAAATTTATGGTCAAGTTCAGCCAGTACATTAACTCCAAAACTTTCCCCCCTTCAAATTTGAAACTCTTTGCTGTTTTAATGCCTTGAGCTTTCGCTTGAGGTTTGATCACGCCCAACTATGCCTTATAAAAAGGACTAATCGGTCATTGCAAATATAATCCGGTTTACAAGTCCGGAGTCGAATCCCCGGTCTCCTTAGCCTCCTTAGGTCTAAATTATGTCAAAAGTATGTCCTCGTTGCTCAAAATATCATTTTTATATGTATTTTACCAAATAGGATCGGGCCCAGATGAAACACCTTTTCCTGCGCGAAATAGGACTTTGGCTCGGTAAAATTTGCACAGGCGCATGGGACGACGCGCCACGCGGTGTGCTTGTGGGGAAGTTCAGAGAGCTGATTCTGACAGGCTGCAGGAATTTTCCACAGGCGCAGTAGTGAGAATTTACAAAAATGCAAAACATGGAAGTTGTAGCCCTTTCAAATAGTTTTCCAACAATATATTGTGGAGCCCAAACGGAGTTCTGAGCGAAAAGTTATGTGCATTTTACTAGACAATGTGTCGTATGCCCGGTCGATTCTCCGTTTCGTTCTTAACTATCATCCGTTGATCCCCGAACACGACCCCGGCTTGATTCCTTGGGCTTTTACTCAGACTTCAAAGCTCCAAATCACTTGAATTCATTCCATAATTTCTACATAGCCCGGAATCACTCCTACAAGGCATAAAATACACAATTAGTGCAAAACACTAGCGATTAAAGCTCAAACTCATTTAAAGTGCAGTACATTAGAGTGTAATAAGCAACTAAAATATGTAATTATAGCCTATCATCAACACCCCACACTTAAACCATTGCTCGTCCTCGAGCAATCAAACTACACTTTATATAGACACGACCTTTATAAACAATTCTCCTAACTCATCACACCAAGAATATTTAAAATAGACTAAGCACAAAACCGTAACATCTTCACCTCAAGATTTGACTCACAAGTACCACGCATTATTCACAACTCACCCACTTACTCTAACATAGAAGTCACTAATATTACCTTTCCTTCATGAATCAAGTGCCCTCACACAACAAAAGAGAGTAGTTCCACATAATAAAATTTAATAACACTTCGGAACTCAAGATAGAAAGAATTCACTCATCCTCAGAAATAACATTCATATGCCACAAAAGATGCACCATAGGCTTGCCCGTAGTGTACTACTCTAGTAATCGAGCTCATTCAGTCTAGGATCAAGTAGAACTTTAATTGGTTGTAATGTAGGCTACGGGTCGGGTAGGATACTTTTGGATATAAGAGTGACTACACCTCCCTAAGCACTTTAATACATATACTTTAACATTCAAGTCCTTACTTATGTCAAACCAAAACTCCACCTTCACCTCAATATATATTACCCCATACTTTTTTAAGCAAAATTACATCAAGAACCACCACTTATCAAGGAATATTTCTCGCAACAATACAACTATTTTTTTCTTTCTTTTTTTTTTTTTTTCAATTCAAGTGGCTCTTACTTTTTAAAAACAATGTACCTTTCTCCTTATCTCATTAATTCCACTCAAAATCCAAACCAACCACCCCACACTTTAACTTTTACATAAATCATCACAGTTCAAGTGCTCGTGAGAGGTGAACAGGTTCAAATAGATGGTAAATTCAAACAAAGGGGTAAGTCTTGTAATATGGTTGCCAAAGAAACAGGATTACAGGCTCAAAGGGGTTAACTACGTACATAACAATTAGGCGGGTAAAATATACATATCTGACTTAACAAAGAAACGCCTATATCACTTCCAAGACTGAACAAAACTACTATTTCGCTTTGCACACACACGGGGCAAGTTCTAGACATCAAATGCAATGCATAGAATACAACAAGCCTCACACACACATGGCACATAACTCACTCAGGTTTGGACTCATCAAGACACTCTGGTCAAAGCAGTTAAGCAAATTTAAAAATCTACGATTTAAGGTGCTTATACTAGAGTCAAAAACTGAGCCTAAGCGCCACAACCCAAGTACTTGCTATTCTCAAGGCATAACAAATTCAAGAGATATTGCTTCAATTCAATTCACAACACAATGGTTCCTATTCCTAAAAAAAAACTAGCTACACCCGGTTCAAACAAAACCTTTGAAAAAGAACCGCGGCATAAAGAAAAACCAAGGGGGAATTGTTACACTACCTAACAAAAGAAATTTTTTTGTCTTTTCTTTTTTCTTTCGACTTAAATCCCTCAAGGAAAAAAAAATTAATTAATACTAACACAACTAAAATAGCATAGAAAGTCACCCAGACAATCTCCTCACCCCACACTTAAAATTATGCATTGTCCCCAATGCACACCATAACTAATAAGAGGGCAAAAGAAACTCTCTGGTAGGCCAAAGGACGAAGCACTAGCAGCTCATGGGGTACTCAGACTTCTCCCAGGCTTGGTCCTTTGTGCGGGTACCTCACACTTAGTTCCAACCATCTGGTTTGCTGTTGCATCCTTCCAATAACTTTGCTTTCCATGCTCCTAGAAAATCAAAAATCTACACTACAAAATACTACAATTAAAAAAAAAATAAAAAAAAAGAAAAGAAAGAAGTAAAGGTGGGTTGCCTCCCAACAAGCGCTTGATTTAACGCCGCGACACGACGCGAATCACTTTTTTTATTTGCCTCCACTTCGAACTTATAAATTGGACCCCCAATTTGGCATCAAGTTTTTGGCTATGCTCCCGGGGTGGAGGAACAAATCTAACTGGCCCAAGCAACCACTGTAGCATTCTGCACTTCTTGGCCTTTACATGATGTGTGTAATCCTAACTTTCTGGCAAGAAGAATTCCAGAATGTAGGCACCTTGTTCCTCATCCCTTGACTCTTCAAGTGGCTCGGGCGACTCTATTTCCATATCATCATCCAACACAATGTGGAAAAATGCTTGGAGTGAGGACCAATGCGCTCAACTATATAAACATTGGGATTGTCAACATCCTCAATACCAATGACACTAGAGTCAACTAAATATGTATCCTCAATATCCTTGGTTGACTCTAGTATCTCTTCTACGACATCGGCATCCTCAAAATCTAGTTCGATTGATTGTTGGTGTTCTACTCTGGCCTTCTCCTCTAGCTCATCCCCATATTTTTTTAAATCCTCCAGTATAATGGCAATTCTGCAACCAATTCATACTCATATCGGATACTATCCACAATGTCAACTTGTTGCGCTTTACAAGGTTCAATTAATTTATTCGCTTGAACCTCCAAGTTGTGAACAGTTTCCTCTTGCCTTTGTATCTGCCGTGGTTTCTCATCATATTGTTCCACATGGCACTTTAACATATCCATGGTCAGCTTTAACATATCGTCGATCTTCTTCAGGTCTGCTTCCCAGGGTTCTTTGATCCTATTAACTTCACCAGAAAAAGTAGAATCATCATAATAAGGGGTTGGGGGAGGATAAGACATATAAGCACAACCATGAAAGTGACCATCTTGACTACCACACATATCACACACATTCCACACATAAGATTGAGTTGGTGCACATAACTCGCTCTCGGAAATATTTTAATAATTTTTTCCTGGGTGGTTTCCTCCACAATATGCATAAGGAGGATCAAAAGTAAAATTACCAACATCAAAATTCTCATAATTCCAAGATTCCATGTCTCTCAAGTCAAAAATAAAAAAATAATAATCAAATACAAGAAAACAAAAATAAAAGTTCAAACTAGCAACCTAGAAATACGTACACGTACAGCTATACCGTTAGTTCCCCTGCAACGACGCCAAAATTTGATCACGCCCAACTATGCCTTATAAAAAGGACTAAGCGGTCGTTGCAAATATAATCCAGTTTACAAGTTCGGAGTCGAATCCCCGATCTCCTTAGCCTCCTTAGGTCTAAATTATGTCAAAAGTATGTCCTCATTGCTCAAAATAGCATTTTCACATGTATTTATACCAAATAGGATCGGGCCCAGATGAAACACCTTTTCATGCGCGAAATAGGACTCTGGCTCTGTAAAATTTGCACAAGCGCGCTGCATGGGGTGACGCGCCACGCGGTATGCTTGTGGGGAAGTTTAGAGAGCTGATTCTGACAGGCTGCAGGAATTTTCCACGGGCGCGCCGCGCGCCGCACCGCACCGCACCATGCACCGCGGTAGTGAGAATCTGCAAAAATGCAAAACATGTAAGTTGTAGCCCTTTCAAATAGCTTTCCAACGATATATTGTGGAACCCAAACGGAGTTCTGCAAAAAGTTATGTGCATTTTACTAGACAATGCATCGTATGCCCGCTCGATTTTCCATTTCGTTCTTAACTATCATCCGTTGATCCTCGAACACGATCCCGGCTTGATTCCTTGGGCTTTTACTCAGACTTCAAAGCTCCAAATCACTTAACATTCCATAATATCTACATAGCCCGGAATCACTCCTACAAGGCATAAAATACACAATTAGTGCAAAACACTAGCGATTAAAGCTCAAACTCATTTAAAGTGCAGTACATTAGAGTATAATAAGCAACTAAAATACGTAATTATAGCCTATCATCAAGGTTCTTCCCTTTCACCTCGTGTAGCAACCTCATTACATTTGCTTCGTATTTCCTTTATGGAGGGCTGATTACATTTGCTGCCTTGCACGTATTCAACAGGTTAGACAAATACTTGAACACCTTGTCAAAATATAATTCGCCTCCATTTTTCCATTTTGTCGAATTCTTTCTGGTTAAAGAATTTCTTTTACTTTATTTTGTGGAATAACTTGGAGATTCTCTAGAAATACAGGGTTCTACTTTTAGGAGCAACATACTTGATCCTGCTTATTTGGGTTATTGTATGGTTTGGTTTGCCACACTTCAGGGGCGGATGGGTGTCCGAACCTTCTTGGGTGGTAGGAATGCGAATGGGGCGGGACGTGGCGGTTGCGGGGCGGGTTAAACCTAAACCCGCAATTATTCAACCCGCCCCGCCCCGCATAGTAAAATTTTTTGTTTT